GCCAAGACAGCACTCTTATTCACATTTAAAGTCATTGAAATTGGCTGCAGCGATCTTTCTAGCACGTTCAAGTATATTGGTATTTTTGTTTTAGCACATAAATATCATCCTCAGCAGAAAGAAAGGCTTTATCATCAGCATATACAGAGACATAGATATCCAGGCAGTTAGTTATGGAACTCATTATTATAATAAAAAGAAGAGGTGGAAGGACTGCTTTTTGAGGAACTCCGCAATTTCGTTTGTATCTAGATGACGAGCCTCCATCCTTGACACAATAAAATTCCCGTGAGGTCAAAAACTCAGCTGAACCGATGAACATATGTTTATTTTCTTTCTCAACCAACAACTCCAACGCCTACAACAGGAAGATATCTCGTTACAGTTACCGCGTTAGTATTACTAATATTGACGCGACTATTTCCCCCAATTTAACACGAAATCTATGCATACTGATCAATGTACACTATTTGAAGTAATGTTACCGCGTAACATTACTGACTGTTTCCTGAATGTAATTCTGAATTTTAATATAAATTCTGAATGTTCCTAATTCTGAACTGGATGTTAACTCGTGCCCTTACTCGTGTGGTAATGGCGGCTAGGCAATGGCGCAATAGAAGGGGCAGATGCCGTTCAACTGGCTTCAAGAATTAGTACATACCGTATTAGCCTAACTACGCTGAATTTAATCGGCTACAGACGACATTCTATAAACAATAAATATCTAGTCTGATGTGCATTGGCCCGGATGCAGCCATAGCTTGGCCTCGTAATCTACGCCAGAGCTGTGCAACAGTCACCAGATGAAGGGACCTGCGCCAGATAGCCAACCGCAGCACAGACAACTTGTTTCTTCGAAGCCCCTCATATACACTCTCCATGTCTGCGTCCTCGACGAGGATGCGAGAAGCTGCCTTCGTCTTCGTCGTCGACGTCTTCTGCGCACCACAAGTCATCACCATGTTCTCGCCGATGGTCTATCAAGGTATGCAACGTGCTTTCAAGCTAGAGTGGGACACGAGGCAAACCAAGCAACCAGTTTTCCAAGCAGATTGGCCTTCTTCGGCGAGGCTCCCTTCTTATGGTGAACTCTTCTTGTCCACTCCCCACGACGATCGCGGAGGAATAGGTGACAGCCTTCAGCTCCAGCACCCTCCCCCCCTCCTTGTTTTCTTCAACACAAAAGCGTCCCCTTTCCAGCGATGAGTTCGAGTGTGACTGCCCCGAACACTTCCCCATTCGAAGAGCCAATGCTGCCTGATGACAGTGGCGTAGCCGAGTATCGTGTTTGTCTACCATAGTTGTCCTCGAAGTCGTCGTGGTCGGACATCCACCTCGGCGCCAGGAAGCAGAAGGCTTGATCTGGTCTTCAGAATTGTCGCACTGACGCTTATTTTGACCAGCTTCCTTGCGCGTCGCGAGAATGGCGAGTAGTTCTGGAAGGTTCGCTCGCGTGTTGGACGGTGATGACGCCGGCGGCGAAGTATCGATACCTCGTCTGCCCGTGATGCGATCCGAGAACGAAGACTTCGACTCAAACTTCCTCTTCCTCCTAGAGGTGCGGCATGTTGGTGCAGCGACGGCTGGCATGTCTCGGTGGAGCGCACGCAGGTGAAGAGCGCAGATATGACTTCAGATGGTTGGAGCGCAGAAGGAGGAGCGCAAGTGAGGGCTTCGCTGAAGCGAATGCAAAGCCTTTGGTGGGGTTAGTACTGGCAGCCAAGTTCTGAAGGTGGGTGTCGTGTAAGGACTGGGCCTCGAGCACCAGGACGAGGAGCTCGAGCACGACCGTGCTTCACAAGATACTAGTAGCGAATAGCAGTCGAAGCCCTGCCGGCGCGCAGAGCAAGAGGGCACGCAAACACGCTCGTGGCAGCTGCCCATAACCACGAACGCCTTTGTCTTCTTCATTGGGAGATAGTGGCACGTTCTTGGTTCCTCCGTTTTGAACACTTTAAAAGAGCACCTCGCTCCGGTTCTTCCGGCCGATGCGCACAATTGATTCTAATCACATCAATATCTTGCCCACAGTTCCTTATTTGGCGTTCCATTAGGTTACTTCGCAGTCGCGTTCAATTCAATCCAACAGCAGTTACACAGCACAGTCATTGATAACACCTGTGTTATGTCGGCGGGCGGCATCCGAACGACGGCAAGGGGCCCGACGACTGAACGCGGAACCTGGCGCACGCCGGTAGTCGGCCCACCGACACGATTGAGTCAAACGATCTCCACGGAAGCCTAACAACGACTCGGCTGACCAGCCGCCATTTATTAAAACCACACTACGAAGCGACGCGTACACACGTAATTGGCTGCTGACAATCACGTGTGCTGGTCTGCAATGACATCGATATATAAAGCACAGAACAACACGACACAGTGCGCATCCTTCTCAAGGATTGCGCCACTGCACCACAACCTGTAAGAGGCAGGGTTCACAAAAACGCAGTGTAATGCTTAACAAAGAGCCCTGACCTGCCACAGTCAATACAGCAGGCATGGAGCAGTGATGTCATGTACACATGCTAAACAATGTTTAAACAACAACATAGTCAAAGTTGAGAGATGCTTGTAACAGTTCATAATAGATCCTTAGAAAAGCGATCATACTTCCAGACCTGTCTGAAAGAATCGCTTTAAAAAGAGGGTGTACTGTAACATTACTCTTTCATTGTCACAGAGAAACTTGTGACAATAACCAGACTAATTGCATAATAAACATACTGGAAGAAGAACCAAGAAGCGAGAGTCAGACTGAGTAAGCATACTTCCATATGATCAGAAGTTCAAATCCACGGTACCACGTTGAGCCACCAGCAAAAAGCTCCTGAGATAAAGGAAGGATAATGAATTATGAATCAGTTAGCCTTATATAATACACAGCCGCCTCGACTAAATCTGCACAGATAGCAGCACATTATCTAGCGTTTGTTGTTTGCTTGATCAACGCCTCTGGAAAGTCATGATATGTTTTGTGCTAGATGGATATAGTTTTCTATCTTTAGAGCTATTTGAAAGTTCCTGTGTGTCTTTAGCGGTGATGGCGGCACTATCCCGGCCTTTTTAGACGTAGTTTGGGGCGTCCCAAATGCACCAAAAAATCGCCGAAGGGGCTCATTTTCGTCGTGACACCTATCAAAGAAAATACGTTAAAGCTGCCCTGGAACACATTGTCAAGTAACCATGAAATGAATTCACTTAAAGAGCTTATTGCCTCACGTATTCAACGCCGCAAAAATTTCAAGAATCCATCCTGTGCGAGTGGAGTTATCAAGGCTTGTCGCATGCTGCAATTGCATTCTCTCTTCTCTCGATCAGAAAAAAGCGTTAGAAGCTAAGCAGGGAGGGGTGGCAGGGGCAAAGAAACTAAATCAACCACGCCTCGTGACCTTGAACACTTGTCCCTTCCTGTTTTTTCGAATGCGCGATTTTTTAGTGTGATCGCGCGCGCACGCGTGGACGTGTAGCGGCCTCCCGTGGCGATCGTTGTAACGAGCTTTTTCGCTCACAACCAACGAGGCCGACCATGATAGCAGAATTTCTGCGACACAAGCTCTCTAACGCTATCGCGTTAAAACGACGATTCTGAGCTCGAGTTTCAGCTGGACCTCCTTCCTGGAGCGCCGCCAGTATAGCCAAGTGACATGCACTTTCACCTCCCCCCCCCCCTTAATGCTACTTGCGAACAAACCTTGCTCAACTTTGATCCTACTTTGCTAAACCATGGTCTTATTGGCCTAGAGTTACACTATTTTGTAGTCCCTCACTGTAACTTGCAGGCCAGCTCCATTTGTCATTGTCACTTGGTCCAGTAAAGCCACGCCTATCATTTTTCGGATCGCGGACAGAGGCATCAAAAGCAACAGGTGTGTCCTTTACAGCTCCGTTGTGAAAGGAAACCGATGCCTTTGTTAGAAAAGATGAGTTTAGTGGCTCGAGCAATTTGTTGAAATCGAGTACAGGGCGAGATAAAAAATGCTATATACGTCATATATGATCCAAGGGTGTTAGCAGTAGGTGCTCAACTTAAGTTTTGGTGGAATAACTAGAGTTAGAAGGATCTATTACATTCAAATGAATGAATGAACTTACTTTGAAGCCTGGCAGTTTCCTCCGGGTGAGGTCGAAAAAAAAGGGGATTAACCCTTGTCCTTTTCCGCGCTCTGTCGATTATGACGGTGGTGTCCCACGTGACCTGTCAAAGTTCTTGGACCGAAGCAGCATCTTCGGCTTGCCGGACAGTCCAAAGCTGGTCAGCCAGCTCGTCGCTGGTGAGTGTCGCCTTCCAGTGGCAGCGAAGCTTACGTAGCTGATTGGCAGCAGTAAGCGCAGCAGCGGCGGCGGCCGGCCCCTGCCCTCGCTCGGTGATAGCAGCAGCTATTGGCTTCGGAGTTCGTCCCTGTCTAACATGCGTCGCGAAGGGAGCGGCGGCAGCGACATTAACTTTGATTGATTGATTGATTTGTGGGGTTTAACGTCCCAAATCCAGCATATGAATATGAGAGACGCCGTAGTGGAGGGCTCCGGAAGTTTTGACCACCTGGAGTTCCTTAACGTGCACCCAAATCTGAGCACCCGGGCCTACAACATTTCCGCCTCCATCGGAAATGTAGCCGCCGCAACCGGAACTCGATACCGCGACCTGCGGGTCACCAGCCGAGTACTTTAGCCACTACACCACCGCAGCGGGGCACGCGACATTAACATTTCCGGCACACTCCCAGTGCATGTGCCGCATGTGTCCCTTTCTTGTGGCCGGAGTGTGGCCGCATGCTTTACACGCGTCCATCGACTAAAAAAAACTATTTTTATGCGTACGACCACTGATTGTTCATCTCTATGTAATGATTTCGTAATTGTGCTATGTTATTTTATCTTTTTTTCTGATTCCGTTTAATTCTCTCTCTTACTGTACGAAAAATCATACTTGAGAAGTTGGCATGTTGTTTGACTGGGCTATGCCCCATAGCTCAGAAAGTTTTATTTTTGCGCAGTCGAAGCGGCCATTCAAGCTGTTGAGCACGGTGCATCGGCGATCATGGTTTCCAATCATGGTGGACGCCAGCTCGACTGCGTTCCGGCAACCGTAAGCTACCTTGACTCGAAGCATCCTTTCACTTCCCTGGTTTATTTCTGTCCTGATGACACTACGCTAGTCGACGACGCTAAGCCATGGATGCCTGCGAATTCGAATGGAACATTTTTGTTGCGATTTAGTAGACTGAAGGTTCGTCTACAAGGGCATCCAGGTCATTCTGAGAACGGAAGCAAATCTGCCAGCTAAAAAAGTGCTTCACTGAACGCGTAACCATGGAGACATTAGAATACTTAGGCATACCTGATTCTGAGATGCTAGCTGCCTTCATGATAGAAATGGACGCTGCCACAAACGCGATCAAGAATTCTCGATTACCAGGTAGCATATTTCACGAGCCTCAGATACGATCCCCAAAGTTGTGATGGTACTTTGTAAGCGGGATAACAGAAGTGGCAACAACTTTGCCAGTGTTGCCTTTACCAATAGCTTATCATAACCCACTATCGTCATCGGAGCTGGTTTTCAGTGGGCTGAATACTGAGAAAAGGGGCCGTAAATTACAATTAAGAAATCTAAAATTCATTTGCAAGCAGATGTCTAAGCCCGTATCTCAGCGATCATCAACCATTGTCCTCACGCACGTCTTAGCTTACACCAGCCATGGTTGCACCCATGATGCAACCTTGGCAGGCTTTGGGGCCGCTTATACGAAGTATCTAGCGTGGGTGCCTTTCTCTCGTAAGTATCTCATATCTCATATCTAGGCCTTCTGTGTAAACTCCAACACGCCTATTCACAGAGGGTAGTGGTCACTTGAAATTGAAAAGCGGCCTTGATTATGTAAACTTTTGAAAAATTTCCTGAAATACTTAAACGCGTGCCCGTTGTATACACTGCCTAATAGAGAAAGAAAGCGCTTAAAAACAGAAACCGCTGCATTTCAGATCGACGTGCTACCCGAAATCGTCCGCGCCGTGGAATCGCGCTGCGAAGTGTACGTTGACGGAGGTGTCCGCCTCGGTACCGACGTCGTCAAGGCGATTGCTTTAGGGGCTCGAGCAGTATTCGTTGGAAGACCGGTACTCTACGGCCTGGCATACAGCGTGAGTGCACCTCCTCTCCTCCTTGTGTAGAAAACATTCGTTGGTGCTTTCCTTCACTATATTTATATTGTGAGACGAGATATGTGGCATAAAATGATTGCGAGTGAAGCGTCATAGTCTATAATTACGCGAGTCGTGGAGGATTTCAAAATTAGGAAGCGAAAAAAAAAGCGTTTATAGATGGTGGGACAAACAAGGAATGCCACAGATCGGCACTGAACAATCACTAAGCTGTACTCTGTGAGTTCACGTAAAATCGTCATTTCTTTCGTTTTGAATAAATTCAAAATTTACCTTGTTTGTTTCTGCACTGGCTACATTCAATGAATATATGCTGTGCGATTTGTCTTGTTTTCTCAATTTTCTTTGAAGTCAGGCTATGTCTCTTGATCTGTGCTTGGCGAAGAGCAAAAAAATAAGCTGTAAGCACAGGTTTATTAAGCTCACGTACAAACACGTTTATGAGATGCAGGCCTCGGCATTAAACAGCTGTTCATGCGACGCTATTGTTAGCATCTATTGCAAAATATTAGTATCCGGATATAACAATGTCCTCCAGGCGTTGCAACAATCCTCTTGTAATAGCAAACGCAAGCTAATAGTAGAGAAAGACACGTTTTGCAGTGCTGATATTCAGAATGTGAAAAACGAAGAGTTATTGCAATCATATAGTCACATACCATAATATCTCGTCGTTAACAACACTAGCGTAAGGAAGAAACAGTAACGAGCTCTCAAATGTTCACCGATTTTGTTATGTTGAACATACAATTTTGTCTACCTCAACAACAGGGCGAACAAGGTGTGCTCAAGGTTTTCGAAATTCTTAGAACGGAGACTGATCGGGCAATGGCGCTGATGGGTAAGAGAAATTGTGCCTTCGTTCTGCTACCTCTTCTGTTGTAAAGGCGATATGCATCACTATATGTCCGGTACGCAACAAAGCGTAAATTCATTGATATTTTGTACTGTCGTCAGTAATCTTAAAGGGGCCCTGTAACTGTTTTTCAAGTAACCATTGAATGAATTCACTGGAAGAGCTTATTGCCTCACGAATTCAACGCCGCAAAAGTTTTAAGAATCTGTCTAGTGCGAGTGGAGTTACAAAGGTTTCTCGCATGCTGCGATTGCATTATCTCTTCTCTCGTCCCGACGAAAGCACCGGGAGCAATGCAGGGAGTGATGGCGGGGCCACAGGAAAACGTCAGGCATGCCTCGTAACTTTGAACACTTTTTTCTTTTTGTTTTTTTTAATGCGCGGCTTTCTCAGTGTGACCACGCACGCACTCGTGGACAAGTAGCGGCCTCCCGCGGCGATCTCTGTAACCAGCGAGCGACCCATGTTCAAATCGGTCAATGGCTGCTATGGCTTGCTACGTGTGGTTTTTTGGGCATATTCCGTGAGCTGTCGAGAAAAGAGAAATCAGTTTTCAGGAATGTTGATAATTTATTGTGAGCTCCAGACCACGTGCTTCACTACAATATTTGGCTCGCGTGTTGTCGGAAGCCTCTTCTACCGATCGGCAGCGTTTTCTGACCATGCTCTAAAAATGTTGCAGGGCCCCTTTAACACAACAGCTCCAGAACGTTTACTGAAACAGTTTGACTGACGCTGGCACCGCGTACCTTCGAGGCGTCACCCACACATATTGACATGCCGTTCAAGCATACCACGGTGTTATCTCGGCAAAAGTGTTCAGCGCTTCACCTCTGACATCAGTCAAACTAATCTGTGCCACGTTCAAGTAAGGCACTAAGCCGAGTTTGATGGTTTAGATTATTTTAAAGGCTTATAACTACGCTGTTGAACATGAGTGCAGACAAGTTAAAAACAGGACGCGATGCATGCACTACTAATACGAGTGGGTGCATATAAGTGAAACCTTAATATCTCTTGTTGACTGCGAGCTAAATTTTTTACATGAAACTTTTGTGACGTAGGCGTAAAAGGTCCAATGAGCTATAGATGCATGTTATGTTCACTCTATATATGCCATTTTACAACCATTAAACGTTCAGTTGGGAGCCTGAGCGCATCCTGTCTTTTACTCGTCTTCGTCCGTGTTCAATAACACAGTTGTAAAAAAAATGTCCTGCGTAGAAGCATCCGTGTTAAGCTTTTTGACGACTCTTTAATGACCAATTGCTGACTCAACAGCACTGAAAATTACTTGACCCTTTGCTACACCTAATAAAGAACTAACCAAAGTAAAATAATTCCACAGCCTTCAAGCCTCGTTACTACACGCAAATATTCATTGTTTCACCCTGCAAGCTTTCACTGGTGCGACTTAACTAATAATGGGGCCAGTTGTAAGGTCCACTATTTAGGTTTTACTAAAGCTGAAACCATTCATTCGAGCTCGAGATTGTATATTTTGTTTTTGTTTTTTTGACCTTGTCCTAAAAGGGTAGTTTGAGCCTGCAATATTATTACCTAATTATTTCATAAATAATAAATAATTAAGTAAATAAATACTACCAGGTGTTTTGTATGTTAAAAATGAAGTGCAGAAAAGCAAGGGTCTACAACGTGTTTTTTTTTCTCTCTTTAGGTTGCCGATCCGTGAGTGAACTACACACGGATATGGTGGTTCACCTCGAACGGATATCTAAGCTGTGATGAACAACCGCACGTCACTTCTATCGACGGTCCTGGCATAACCGAATACGAGGATTACGTTTACACAGGCCTCTCTTGGGGGCATAGGGCACCACTCTTTTGTATAATACAATGAAAGAAAATTAAAAAAAAGATACTCATCTTAGCTTCATTTTTGTATGGGTGAAAGACGTTGCGCAGTATTGAACGAACGAAAAGCACCGATAATGTTTCTTACTAAGAAGTATCACGCGCGATCATTTTGCGCGAGCAGTATCACTCGCTTGTGTAGCATGGCTGTCAATCATTTTTTTGAAAAATGTCCAATGGCACTGTAAAGCTTACCTTGTTTTAGGCAGCGCAATTCTTTCACTACTCTTCATTTGAACAAACTCCTAAAATAGCGTAGTGTACAACAAAAAGGTACTGACAAACATTTCACTGTATAGTAATGCAGACGTGTATAGTGGCGCTGAAGTCAATAGCTACTTCAAAAGTTGTTCTGAAAAAGTCGGGGAGAAAGAGGAACATGATGGACAGATGAAAAAAAAAAAACAAACCACAGCGTATCCGCGGCGTGAATGATGATTGGTGGGCTGAAGCGTTCGTCAGTCCGTCCGTGCTTTCGTCCGCCCATTCGTTCTTGCTTCCGTCCGTTTAACCGTCCGTGTGTCCATCCAGTGTGACCGTCGGTGCATCCGTCCATCCGTGCGGCCCTCAATGCATTCGTTCATACGTCTGTTCTTCCGACTGTCCATCCATCCGTCTGTGCGTGCGTTCGCTTCTCTGTATGTCTATGCGTCCATCAGACCGTCCGTCTATCTGTATGTCCATCCCTCCGTCCATTTATCTAGTGAACACTTGAAGTACAGCCATCTCACATCTTTTCATCAAGTGTTCATCATGTACAAGTGCCGCCATCCAGCGGATATTCTAAGGACCGCTCTTTCGGGTATGTGCCACCGGTGGCTACATACACCATCGGAGGATGGACAGACCCACACCCTAAGAAGCTTCGCCCGTAAAAAAAGGCGTTCCGTTATTTGTACATTGAGAGAGTTAACTCATAGCTGATAAAAGGAACTAGAAGAATCGTCAGCAAGCATACAGCTGACACGGTAAGCGATATGGTGACTAAGAGCGTTAAGCGAAATGTCAGAGTTGTGGAATCGGTGTATTCAGTAGCACTGAGCGATAGAAAGCCGGCTCTGTGTAAACACTGAAAGGGTAAAGAGGAAAAAATCAAACATGCAATTTACGACAATTCAAGGGGAGATGCGTTTCGCCGTTAGCAGCAAAGTCAGGTAGCAATATTACGCATGTGAAGCGAGATTCAGTGAAGCAGTGAAATTCCCATGCGGTGGGAAGGTAAGTAAATGGCGCAGGATTGATCCACCCGGATGCGTGCTATGACACTATAGTCTACAGGACCCCTTAGGTTGCATAGACAACACTGTAAGACAAGAAAGGATGTTATGCAAATAAAAGATAACAGGGATTCTGGTCGCCCCGCCGCGGTGGTTTAGTGGCTAAGGTAATCGGCTGCTGACCCAGAGGTCGCGGGTTTGAATCCCGGCTGCGGCGGCTGCATTTCCGATGGAGGCGTAAATGTTGTAGGCCCGTGTGCTCAGATTTGGGTGCACGTTAAAGAACCCCAGGTGGTCGAAATTTCCGGAGTTCTCCACTACGGCGTCTCTCATAATCAAATGGTGGTTTTGGGACGTTAAACCCCCCATATCAATCATCAATCAAGGAATCTGGTCACGAAAAAGTAGGCAGATAGTCCAAAAATAAGAGGTAAACCAACGTTAATCGAGCCAATGGCCCAGAAAGTTGGGCTACGAACTTTTATGGAATGTAAGGTATTTAAAGTATTTTTATGGAATGATAAGGACAATGATATGTCGTAGCGCGGGAATAATAATAATAATAATAATAATAATAGTAATAATAATAATAGTTTTAGTAATAGTAATACTGCAATCTTGATCTTGGTGATGCGCAGCTCAGCACCTCGTCACTAAGAGAGTCACTGTTTCATCGGCTGTCGCCGAAAAAAAAAACCTCGCCTGATTTCTTGCGCACTCACTTAAATTCTCAGAAAGGCGACAACCACCTTTTTTTGTATTTTCCATGGATTGTTTAGTACACCCACCCTCGAAAGATTGACGCATTACCTTAAGCTGGTGACATGTGAACTACGACAGTTCCAATTTTATTCAAAGAGTGATTTACTTCTCGGGTGTATTAGGATTGGTAGCCTCGGGTAAGTCCCGTCGACCATCCACATTTTAAGGTAAAAGCCTTTTACAGCTTTTACTAGTGTCCGCCCGTCCATCCGTCCGTCCGCCTGTCCATCCCTCTTTGCCCTGCAATAATGACAACTGTGACCTCTCTTCTTTCCTACCTCCGCAATCACGTGATTGCTAACAGAGTAAGAGATCGTAGAGCTAATCTAGGATATAAACACTTCCAGATACTAGAGCTATTCGTCCAACAGCTCTGGGATGTGGCAGCATTTGGTATAATACGCTTTTCTTAACATATAAATCTTCATAGAACAACATTTATTTGAGGTTTGAAAGAACTCCGCATCGATCCAGGGTTTTTCTCACACCACAAACTCAGTCCTACATACACAATCTCAAACAGGGCGCCGAGCAGATGGGCCGCATAATTCGAAGCATTGCAAACAAACGGGACGAGTTGCAGGTCACAGATGCCCTTATGCTCGTTTGTGCCTTCACGACCAGTCGTGTGGTACGCACCAAGCTTTTGCTCCGCACCAGCAAGTAGTATGAAAACAATATTGCCGGAACTATACAAAAAGTCACGAAATGGGCTTTAAATCTTCCCTTCACCACCTCCAAAAGAGCCATTTGGGGCCCATCGAACATGGTGCTCATCTGCTGAAATGTCTGAATATCGCACGTCAGACCCATAGAGACGTAACAGATCAAGTACCGGAAGCATAGGGGAAAAATTCTATCTTTGCCCTCCACCGACTAACGTGGACACTCAAATCTCATGAAAGCTGACGATAGTCCCAAGTAAAAGACTTTGTGTGCTAATGAGGGTCTCAGAGAGGCCCAACTAGCACATGGCCATATTCGCAGAGTGCGTGGTGGTATACCGGTGCTTACTACAGCAGGATCCAAGGCTGTGTGGACAATGTTTCTTGTGAATAGGTATATTATGTCGGTAAAGTGGAAGTGAGCCGTTGAGGAGGCCTAGACGCCGTCCCCGAAGGGTGATGGCAGTGGCGGCAGGTGATTAAGTGCCGAGGAGGCCTAGACGTCGCCGTCATGCTGCACTTAATGTGGCTGCACGAGGGCGGGTGCCTCGGACGAATAATTGTTTGTTTGTTTGCTTTAGGCAGAAAGTTCCTTAAGGTCGAGAGTTATCCATCGGTGTTGTGCGCCGCTGACGATGACGCTGGCACTGACGATGATGTGGATGACGATGAAGAACAAGCGCGTCTCAAACCACACATTCTCTTTCGGCCAAGGTACCCACTATATGACTGACAATGACGCTACTAACGATGAAAAATATGATAATCTCAGAAAACTACTGGCTTGCGCAATAGATGACGTCTTGATATGCTCTACGATGTATTTTGTATGACTTGAAACGACCAACAATAACCAAGGGAACGAGCACAGACATCGCCTTTGATAACTTTAGGCTTGGTTCGATACCACAAAGCAGTAATAATGAAGGGGAAACGAGATTCGCAACACGCCATACTAGTTATTGTTCGAGATTCGCAACACGTCATACCTGTAAATATTGTATGTAACTATACGGCGCTCGGCACTCATTACCATGCGTGAGTTGTGAATTTCGCAAGTTATTTGTGGTAACACCGAATGATCTCACTGCTTTGCCCACCGATCATCCAATTTTTTCGTCCAAACCTATGGAACGTACTCACTCTGGAAGATGGGCCATGAATGAGTACTTGAAGGTTATTTGTAAAATTTTAGGTGATTCAAAAGTAACGAAATAAAGCTACCATAATGCGTAGCCATAAATAAGACTGCAAGTAATATGCTATTTAGCCCGCCATTTCAGAGTCTGCATACGAGCTCGGAATTCCGTCTCTGGAGACGTTGCCGAAGTTTGGACAGGTTGATGATTGATCTTAAATAGTTTTCGTTTATCCGCAATATCTCTTGAAATTTACAGATGGTCAACGCAGAGGTCAATAGAATATGATTGGTTTGTAGTCGAATCAGTCACGTCAACACTGCAGTAATGTAACAGAACACACCAGAAGGAAATTACTGAAGGTGGTGTAAGAAATAGTCTCTTGGTCTATATCTCGGAGTGTGTTTGAGCCATCGATGCGGGTGAAGAACGTGAACAAGCGGAGAGAAACAAAGAAGAAAAAGAAGTGGCAGGTTCTTACGGTGCCCGTGGTTCGCAGTCAAAACGTGTGTTCGCAGAGCTTGAAGGAACTTCTACGTCTTTGAATTCGAATTGATTCGCTGGACTAACAGGCGCTGTTCTGTAACGAAGGGCGCAAAGCCACGATGCCGGGCACCCCGAATGAGGAGACGCCGAGCCATTCGTCACGCGACAGTTCAAGCACGCCTGTTACTTCGACGCCAAATGAAAAGTTGTTGCATGACTCCAACCAGCCGCAAGACAAGGACCTCCCGCATCAAGCTCCACGGGGAGAAGGCGCAGTGCCGTCGGCATCCAGGTACCGAGTTTCACGGACAAAGGAACGACCGCGGGCGTCCCAGACGAGTCTGGCACTCGGCAGAGGGATACTCAAGTCCAGTCCCTCCTTCCAAGAAAAGGAGGACACGTCGCAAAGACCCCAGACAACGGCGATAGCGTTCTCTCAGTCTTCGCTAGTGGCGCCAACCTCGCCTGAAACTTTGTTGCGACCACACTGCACAGGTATGAACACGAATAACCGCAAATGCATGTTACTGAGAACTAACAGACGATGATACCTAATAGAAAAAATGAGTGCTTAAACTAGTATTTGTTTTTTGATCGTATATTGTAGCTTTTGTTTTCAGTAGGGCATGCGCACCAAAGAAGTACATTTTACAAACCACAGTGGAGAAAAGTGAACTTTTTATAGGCTATACACTAGGTATACCGTTTTTTTATGAGGACATTTATAAGCTATAAATATTATTGT